ACTGTTGAGGGGGACCCCTGAATCGTCATTTAACCTACTCCCAATTTATTGTCACAATCTGAAGCTAGCAAATCCGGGGACTGTGACAGAGATCGCTCTTGATGGACTTAGATGATTCGACATGTTGTTTGTCGCACTCGGTTGTTCGGTAATAATTTTTGTCATTTTTTTAATTATTGTCATAATTTTATGTTCTGAAGTTTAGATTTTTAATCTCGTTCATTTGCATATTCGATCGTTTCTAGGACACATCAGACTGCTTCTTATAATGGACGGTGCCCGTCTGAAGGGGCCATATGTTGGCACCATGTTCTTAGCGGTCGGCATGGATGGAAACAATTTGATCGTACCCGTTACAATAGGAGTAGGGAAGACATAAAGTGAATGAAACTTAACATCTATACGTATATTTACGTACGTTTTACGTACGTATATTTATACGTATATATACATGTATTTTCAAACAACACATATATATTTACGTATAAAATAAAGTAAATGAAACTTAACATCTATACGTATATATGCGTACGGGTTTAAATACGTACGCAATTTACGTATCTTTACGTACGTATTTAATACGTATATATGTGTACGTATGTATATACGTATATATATACCTACTTGCATTTACGTAAAAAACGAGAATAAATTGCGTTAACATTTATATATATAAAGATGCATTACGTAAAAGAAAAGAGATATAAATAGGTACAAAAACTGAAACTTAACACGTATACGTATATATAGAGATAGATACATACATATAGATATAGATAGATACATATATATATATACACACAGAGAGAGAGAGAGATAGATACATACATACATATAGATAGATACATATATATAGAGATAGATAGATACATATACATATATAGATAGATAGAGTATTTACTGGTGTTTCCATAATGGCGGCGGACGATGGTGGATGGCGGCGGTTGACGGTGGTTGGTGGCGGCGAAGGGTGGTGGATGGCGGCGGACGGTGGTTGGTGGCGCCGGAAGGTGGTGGATGGCGGCGGAAGGTGATCGATGTCGTTAAACAGTGGTGTATGATGGTATATCGAAGAATGGTGGTCGTTTTTGGTCGGGATGGTCGGTGGGATGCTCCAATCTCGGTTTTTTGCTCGTTTTTTCTAGAGAAAACGAGCGGTAGTGGGTATTGATGGTGAACTTATGGTCCCCCACCGCCTATTTATATAAAACGTTAAGTAATAAAACAAAATTCATCGTCAAATCGATGCCATAGAGGTGTCATAACATGAAAAAACGCGAAACGCGGTCAAGCTACGTAAATCAGATATAATGTCTGATTTTTTCTCCAAAAATCAGCTAAATTTTTTTTCGTACCCACAATTATCATTGTTTTATTTTATAAAGAAAAACCATGAAATTTTAAATTAAATACGTAAAAAAACACAGTTTATGTTTTGTTTCATTTTTATTAAAAACACCCTTTAATTGTCAAATCAAAAACACAAAATGACAAAATAGAGGTCAAATTTCGTAAATAAGATATTATATATGATTTATGAAACTCAAATAAGATAAAAATAATTTTTGCGTCTCCATAATTATCATGGTTAATTTTTAAGCCTTTAACCATGAAATTTGGTTCTAAAAAAAGTTAAAAACTACAATTTAAATGGCGTATCAGTTTTATTAAAAATACCGCAAAAAAAAGAAAAAAAAAGGAATTAAAGGTTGGATCGCCCTTGGGGGGCGATCTGATGACGTGGCTCGCCCTAGGCGGCGATCAGGGCCCGGTCTACGAGATGCACAATAATATCTTCTTTTTATGCTGAAAGTGGGACCCACCAATTTTTTTTCTTAGGAGCCAGTATGGGATCGCCCTGAATAGTATCCGTGTTGGTATTTACGCAAATGGTCTAGAAAGTGGTTATTTTGTAATAGTGGGTTGTATAAAATACCATTTAGGTCATTTTCCCAAATTTATTTCACAAGTTCTATAAATTTTTTGTTAGGATACGTAAATACATCCTAAGGAATTATTATAGATACACGTTTAATTTTATATACGAGACATTTGTTTAATCTGATAAATTGAGTCATACACACAAGGCCGACTCTGGGGAGGGCGGCCTGGGCGCACGCTTAGGGCCCAAAAATATCCGAGACCTAAATTTTTTCCTTAACATACATAAGTAGTCTAAAAAATTTAATAAATTTAAGGAACCCAAAAAATTATAGTATTAATAAGAGGTAAAAAAAATTTAGTAGATGATAAGAGCCCAAAAATATATCAAGTAATTACATTAAAAAAAAATAAAAAAAATTAATTAGTCATTTAATGTATGCTATTGTTTATTGCCTCTCTATTTTATTTTACCTCTAGCAAGGTCCAAAGACATTGACTATTGATATCTGTATATGCTTGACTGTTTTCATGCTTAAAAATTCAACATTAAGATCATGTGTTTCTTATTACTATATATTTTTGTTGGATATTTTTATGTATTTCTGCTTCGATTGATTATTGCTATATGGTTATGTTGTTATAATTGTTTTTGTTAACTATTGTTATTTATTTTTGTTTCTACAAAAAATATTTTACTATTGTTCTTATAATTTATGACGTGTTTCATGGTTTTGAAATTAATCAATAAATTTTTCCTACTACATGTATTTATTAATGTCTCTCATATCTATCATGTTTCATAAAATTTTAATCTTTATATCTTATATTAGTAGAGCAAAAATAAGAAAGAAAATATGATTTAAATATTTTCATCGACTGTTTGACTTATGTATCTTTCATTGAGATTTCACCACACCAAAAACTTTTATTCAAGTGCTCAAACAATCATTTGTTGAACTTCCATGTTATATGTTTAATTTATTATTTATTCTTACTAGATCTCAATGGATAATCTAATCTACCATATTCTTATTGATCATCGTTTGTCTACTTGTCAAGAAAACCTTAATATTCTTCTCTATTATTGATCTCTCATTGATCCTCATGATTACTTCATTCACACGAATTCTCTTTTTGTATTAAAATAACACATATTTTTGTTACGAATTAAAAACAATTCTTACTTTTTATAATAATTTATTACACACAACTTCTATACTATTGGTTTCAAATTACCTAATAAGTACGTAAAATTAAGTACTCTCTTACATATCTATAATAAAGATAAATAAGATTTCTTTTCTTACTAAATTATTAGCATTTCTTGTACTCAATTTTATACTAATGAAAAACATTTATTGAATTTTTTTCATATTTACCAAGGGTCATTAGAAGAAAAGTGAACTTTAACGATTAACGATAACATGTTTCCGTTACAAGTTATAGCAACGACATATTGTTGTTATATACTATTTTTAATCATAAATGGACTTTTAGCAACGACAAAAGTTATAGTTAAAAACCTTGTTTTTTGCAGTAGACCATGTTTTTACGTTTACTCAAGACCTATAAAATATGCATGCATACACAACAATATATTTAAACATTTAAACATATTTGATGTTTATTGAAGTTGATTTTATTGTAAAGAAATCTTATGTGACGTTGAAGTCAAAAACCACGTAAACTTCTAGTCTCTTTAATTTATTTAAGAGAACTCAAATCAATGACCAAAATTTAATCCGTTGACCTAGGTTATATAATTTATTTTCATTATGAAATATATCTTTAAATAACAATCAAATGTTTAATTTAATTATATAACAGATCAAATACCACGTTTATTTTATCGTCAGCAAAATAAAATAATATATAATTTAAACTTTGATCACATACATTTTCATTCTATAACGACTTTCTTCGTTGGTTTCTAAAAACATCTCTTTTTGGTCCTTGTGGTTTATCCTTTGATTCTTTTTTAGTCCTTTATACTAACTCTGTTAGCGTTCAGTCGTTGATTAAGGGGTATTTTCGGCTTTTAGTCATTTTATTTTGTTTTTTATTACAAGTTAAAAATAAATAAATTATAATTATATTTATATTTGTATCCATATCCCTCTACACTCTCTCCTAATACCTCATGTATCCCTTCCCTGCTATTTTTCACTAACGATCATAAATTCCTTACACATGACCTTACTTCAAAGTCAATGACCTCCACAACCTTATCTTAAACCCACGGATAGAAACCACCAGCTTATAACCTGAAATTTCGTGTTAAGTTTGAACGTGAAACTCCATTTTGCTCTCCTTCGGGAGTCAAATTTTTTTATAGAACGTTCTTGGTGGAATAAAATGTAAATAAAAGATCCCACTGAATTGAATTGGATCCAAAAATATAAGAAATAGTGGGAATTCAGTTCTTGGTTGTAATCATCTAAGTTGGATTTTTTTTTTCTAAATTGAATTTTGGTTTCATTTTCAAAATCATTTACTTTTCAGATTTCAACCGTTAAAAATGTTGGGTTTTGCAGTAGCCCGTATTAATCGGCATGATTATAGATATAAAGATGGTGGAGGTTTCAGGTGGGGTTATAGAGATGAAGATGATGATCGTTAAGTTTTTTTTTTTTTTGAAATGTTTTATTACTATTATAATTATTTAATAAAGAATAAGAAAAACTAAAAAGTAGAAGTACCGAATTACCCCTGCCTCAACATACCCTTTCAACAGAGCAAAACGATGCACAAATCAGAAACCGTAGGACGAAAAAAGTTATTTTTAAAAGCGAGGGACGATAATAATTGCTAACAATAACTACAGGGACGAAAATCGTAACTTACTCTTAATTAGATTAACAATAAAGTATTTGGTATGTTGTGGAAGTAGGGTATAAATTCGGTCAATGGAATCAATAATTCCACCATTAGCATTCAAAGATAGGCGAGTCAATATCTGCAACCTATATACCTAAACCCCACTCATCAAATTCAAAATAAAACGTCCTTCCAAGAACACTCATATCTTTCCTTCTTCTCTCCTTCCTTCTTGCATTCATATAGCACCCTCATGATGTCTAAGTTCTAGATGATTTTAATTTCTTGAGTTTATGAACATGGGTTTTAGTTTCAACAGGCTTACAAATCTTCATCTTGTCTCTTTCTTCCTCCTCCTGTTTAATCTCCGTGTATTTTCTCAGTTAAATAACAGCAGCATTAGACTTGGAGACGTGATAAGAGATGGGGAAACCATTGTTTCGGAAAACCAGATTTTTCAGCTAGGGTTTTTCAGTCCCCGGAATTCAAGTTTCCGATACGTTGGAATATGGTATTACGGGATGCCTGATCAAACAGTCACATGGGTGGCAAATAGAGATGCTCCAATCTCCGGCGATTCTGGTGTTTTTGGCATTCAAAGCAATGGAGGTTTGAGTATTTCTGATCAAAACGGTACAGTATACTGGTCAACAGATAGTTTTCCGGAGGTTGGTAATGTAACAGTGATGCTTGTTGACACTGGAAACCTGATTCTTTCTACCGTTGAGAATGCCGGAGATGACCGTAATGCGTTATGGCAGAGCTGTGAGCATCCAACTGATACTTACTTACCAAACATGAGAGTGTATGTGAATATCACAACAGGTGATAGTGCTTCATTTGTTTCATGGAGAACTCCCAACGACCCTTCAACTGGGAATTACTCAATGGTAGTTGATCCTCGTGGTTCACCTCAAATCGTAACTTGGGACAACTCACGTCGTAGGATTTGGAGATCTGGGCAATGGAATCAGCAGATATTCACAGGACTACCACAGATGAGATCTCTATTGCTGTCTGGTTTTAGACTGGTTCAGGATGATGGTGGGCTCATGTACTTCATCTTCAATAATCCAAATAGGACCCTTTTGATGCGGTTCATGATACAATGGAATGGAGTAGTGCAGCAGTTGACTTGGGATGAAGGAAGACTGCTATGGGTTGTGCCACTGTCGCTGCCTTCTACTCAATGCCAAGAGTATAACAGGTGTGGTAGCTACGGAATCTGCAGCCTCAATAATTCCCCATCAGTGTGTTCTTGTATGCAAGGATTCGAACTAAATTCCAGTGATCAGTGTACTAGAAGAACCCCTCTAGAATGTGGAACAAATTCTAGCACAAGTGATGGATTCCTACGAACAGATGGAGTCAAGTTGCCTGATTTCGGCAATACTTTCATGGCACAAAACCAAGGGGAATGCGAAGATGGATGCTCCAGGAATTGCTCATGTGATGCGTATGCCTATGTCTCCGGAGTCGGTTGTTTGATCTGGGGTGGTGATTTGATCGATATCGAACAATTTGAAGAGGGTGGAGAAACACTTTTCGTTCGCCTCGCAGGTTCAGAATTAGGTAACTTTTTTTATACATGTCTTCCAATTCCATTCACTTGCAACTCCAGTTCCATTACACTTTGGAATTGGAGTAAAATCTCAGCTCAATCTAGAACCGGATTTCATCGAAAATGTATACTAATTTGAGCCATTTTTCGTTCCTAGGTGGTGGAAATACATCCCAAACTGTAGTTATAGCAATATCAATAACCGGAACAATTGTTCTTGGTGTATTCATATGGATAACCTGGAGGTACAGGCGAAACATCAAAGGTATAAGTTTCAATCCGTCCGAGGCTTATAAGTTACAACAGCATGCAATCTTTTATGAATACAGAATTTTTCTATATTGATGCTACAAAGAAAAGTGCTTCTCCGATGGACAAATCCGTCAGGAAAGCTCCATCGGAAAAAAAAAAGGATAATTATGCCGATGGTTTTATTGCCATTGGCAAAGGCTCAATGGGAAAATAATATTTAGCCACGAATAACCCATCAGTGTTTGTATAAAACAGATGACTTATAACTGTCAAAAACTGTTTTAGTTGATTGTCCTGTAATTTAACATACTTGCATGATCTACTACGGTGAACAGAATTTACAAATCTGTGCGGGAAAAAGATGAATTTCGCACCTCTCGTTCAACAGTCGAATGGCCTAAACATTTCAGCAAATTCCGAAAGAGCAGGTGGTCTTTCAGTTGAAGGAAAACCATTCGAAGGGACATTATACAGTCTTGCTACCCTGGAATCCGCCACAGATGGCTTTGCTAATAAAAACAAGCTCGGTGAAGGAGGTTTTGGTCCCGTACACAAGGTTAGATTTTCTTTTCAAGCAAATTTCTCTGCACAAAACTTGGCCATTTGTGATCCAAAACAATAACGATCACAAGGGTCACCCGAATCACCAAGCAGATAAAGGTAACAACAAAAAATGGTGTCTCATGAGATTCCAATTAAAGGTTGAGTGCGAACCCACCCAAGGATATAGATGCATGCACTAGAATGGTACTAGCTCGTGTAGGACATGTTATAGAACGATAATCACTAGGCTCAAAAGCCAGACCAATTCTAAATTTTTCATCGAGTACCGGTTATTATAAAATGTCTTCAGACCGGTTCAAGAAAAGTTCAAAACGGCTATTTCATAAATTAGTTTGTGTTCTTTTAACTTGTTGAAAGACATTTTTGTCCCTCCTAATCGCTATCTTGAAATATAATATAGAAAATCTAATTTATTAAGTGTATAAAGAACAACTATGAAGGTGTTATATATATGTGATAAAAGAATTAAATAGAACAGGTTCAGGCTAAATTTCAAGAGGATGACAAGTTAAAGGCCTAGGCCAGCCCTGATCTTTTAAAGGACTGGCCAAGGCTTGGCCCCATCCTTTGAAGGACAAGTCGTGTGCACATTTGGCAGGAACAGGCCCTGTTAACCGGTCCTTGTGCATCTCTACGAGTTGGGCATGTCTAACGAAGTATTTATTAGGGATACGAAGGGCATTACAGCTTCACCTCTCGCTGGTCTAGTGATATCTTGACTCTTTTCCAAAGGAGAGTCTCCCAATAATCTAGGGACACCTTTTGCTTTTATAGCTACCGATTTTGATTAACAAATGAGGCCAAGCTATGTATTACTTTTAGAAGGTTCCACCATCAAATAATATCAGAGGTAACGAACTTTTCAATGTTTGTTGTCCAGGGAATCCTTCCTGGGGGACAGAAAATTGCGGTAAAGAGGCTGTCGAAATGGTCTGGACAAGGCTTGATGGAATTCAAGAATGAGATGATTCTGATTGCAAAGTTACAACATAGAAATCTGGTTCGGTTGCTAGGGTATTGCATTGACCTGGAAGAAAATATGCTAGTTTATGAATATATGCCTAACAAAAGCCTCGATACGTTTCTTTTTGGTATGCTTTTCTCTCTTTCTCTCTCTCTCTATCATGTTTTGGCTTTATGACTACACTAACACAAAATGACTGATGACATGATTTGTATCTGTAACAATAGATATGAAAAAGAAGGAGCATCTAGATTGGAAGACACGGTTTCTGATCATTGAAGGAATTGCTAGAGGTCTACTTTACCTCCATCGAGATTCTAGGCTTAGAATCATTCATCGTGATCTAAAGGCTAGTAACATTTTGCTTGATGAGGATATGAACCCGAAAATTTCAGATTTTGGCATGGCCAGAATATTTGGAGGGAACCAAAATGAGGCAAATACAGTCCGAGTAGTAGGAACATAGTAAGTCGAAAATCATCCAACAATTCCCATTTTCTTCCATTAATGGTATTCATGCAGTGTGTCCTTCAAATGATAGAAAAGTAGTAATCAAATGAAACCTGACAATTGTTCTCTAACAAAATGTATCACTCTTGTAGCGGTTATATGTCCCCAGAGTACGCAATGGAAGGTTTGTTTTCGGTAAAATCTGATGTCTATAGCTTCGGGGTTTTGCTATTAGAAATCATCAGCGGCCAAAGGAACACAGGCTTTCATGCTCAGGATTCCACAAACCTAATACAACATGTAAGTAATCATCTTTTCTTCCCGTTCTTTCCTGAACCAAATTAAACTTGAGCAAAAACATGACGCATACATTAAGACTTTATATGATCAGCGTGTTCTTATTTCTCTTTCATTCAACCATAGTGGGAGTAATTGTTTTAGAGTAGTTTCCTCTGCTGGCGTTTTCTACATAAATCATATGTATGGATCACAAAAGAATCTAAGAGTTTGCAACATTTTGCAGGCATGGAATCTATGGAAGAATGGGAAACCCGAAGAACTAATTGATCCATCAATTCTAGATTCATGTAACAAGAAAGAAGCATTGCAATGCATCCATGTAGGGATGCTATGTGTACAATTTTCAGCTGTCCATAGGCCTACTATGTCGTCGGTGGTCTATATGTTGGAGAGTGAAAACAGAAGCCTTCCTCTACCTACACAAGTTGGTAACACGTCATTAAACGCCGATGAAATGGACTTGGTCATGGAAGGCCGATATACAACTTTTTCGTCTAATGATATTACATTTACAGAAGTGGTTGGGAGGTAGATAGGAAAAAAAAAGACATTCTTTTGTAAGGTTTGTGTGTTGTTTGAGTGTTGATATGTACAAACGGTAGAAATTCACCTAATTTTCATGGTTGATGAAAAATATATACAAATGCAGTACCAATCATTCCTTAAATAGACCATCCTTGATGTTGTTTACTTTGTCTAATCCACTTCTTCATACATCCAAAATGTTAGACTTTATATTCGCATTTCTCATTTAGTACAGTGCAAGGACTATTATTGTTGTTATCTTAGCTTAGTATAAATATTTTCTCTCTCTTTGTATTGAAAGATGACTTTTTAGAATTTCACTAAGGGTGCGTTTGGTTTGCAGGAATGTTTCTGAGGGATTTGGATTCCTGAAGGGATTTGGATTTCATGGGATTTGGATTGGATTGGATTTAAAATCCATTCCTGTGTTTGGTTTGCAGGATTTGGATTTGATTTGAAATCCATTCCTCTGTTTGGTTTGTAGGATTTGGATTTACATTTTTTTTAATCACCAAATCTCTTTCATTTTTTTAAATCTATCTATTTAACCAACAAACCTACAAATTTAACAATCAAACATTTTCATCCATAATGCATATTTAATCAACAAACATTTTCAAAATACATATATATATATATATATATTTGATATTAACATTGATATACACATTTAACTACCAACTTGTTCTTTCAAAACTACATATTTACCCACCAAAATCTACCCACATTTAACTACCAACTTTACCCATATTTAACTACCAAATTGTTCTTTCAAAACCACATATTTACCCACCAAAAGTTTCATCCATTTAAAACCCAATCCACATAACCTTCCCTATCCGCTTCTTGGAAATCCCAAAACGTGTTCACCTTTTCAGGATCGTCTCTTATCAATGAAATTGYTTTATACTTATCACGTTGGGTCAACGTCTGCATTTTTAATATCTCAGGTGTGATCATCGAACGTTTTTTATCAACTTCKTCTTCTCGTTCTATACCCCTGCTAAGTTTGTTCGCCATTTTCTCCAAAGTTTCTCCAAGTTGAGTAACCGCATTACTAAATCYGTCMGCCATGGGATCTACTTGAYGTTTTCTCTTSTTACGACGCACAGTTGAAGTTTCTTCAGATTGCGTATTTGCGTTCCCACCTTGAACATTGCTAGTTGCAATTACGTCATCGGACTCGTCATTTAGGTTTTGTGTTTGATCTTCTGTACGCGCCTCCTGTTCTGCCTCAACAAAATCTCTTGCTCTATTTCCCATCGCACGATCTTTTCCAAATACAATACAAAGATCCTCATAAAAAGGATATGTTTTGTTCCTCCATTTTCCTGCCCCTTTGTGGACCTATTTCATAACAGGAATTATTAAATATACATATAACTATGATTACATATCCTGCAAATATAAATACCAAGTTCTTTTGATCATGTACCTGAAGATACGACTCCCAAACTTGGTCTTCCGCAACGACACAATGCTTCACACTATCGTATCCGAAGCCACTAGTATATGAACCATTAATCATGTCATGCACAATAGTCCAATCTTTCTTCATTATTTTTAACTTCGATTCGATGTGTGGTTTCCCTAAAATCCCGGAGCCCGRCAAAGATTCTTTTAACGATTGTTCAAGAAATGTTAAATAACCCGATTTAAAGCCATTGTCGGCTTTAAATGCTCCCGTATTCACCATAGTAAGTAAAGCTTCAACGAGTTTTGTTTCTTCAATATTCGTCCAAACTCTATAATTTCTATTTTGACTCGTCATACCTACAAACRTAAATGAATCAGAAGTATAACGACATTTAATTATCCATGTCCAAACTCCATAATTTCTAKTACAAAACAAACATTAGATTCAAGCTACAACCACCAAGAATATAGATTGGAAAGGGAAGTCTACCTGCAGCGGTGAAAGCGACGGTGAAAGCGACGGTGAGGCGATTCGATGAGCACCGGTTCAAGCAGCGGTGAAAGCGACGAGAGCTGTGGGGAGTTGGACGAGACCGGCGAGAGCAGCGGGGAGAGCGACGAGAGCTGGGGAGATGGTGGAGACGGGCGACAGAATGGAAGGTTTGTGACGAGCTCAAGTTCGTAGCAGCGTGGAGAAGAGGAGCCCGGATTGGATTTCAAAATCCAGCCCATTTACTATGGATTTCAAAATCCATTGTTTACGGGATTTTAAAAAGTAGACGTGATTCCAAATCCAGCCCATTTAGCAAACCAAACAAGGGATGGAATGGATTTCAAATCCAAATCCCTCCAAATCCCTCCAAATCCCTCAAACCAAACGCGCCCTAAAACCTTTTGGCAAGCCAGGTCCCTAGGTTTTTGATGACCAGGGCAAAAAGCTAAAAAATGCTCCCAGTATATAAAAAGGCAACAGCGAAACATACTATTTATTAAGGGGTTTGAAACCTACAAGTTAGACGACTCGTCCCGTCTAGAAAGAAAAGGTAAAGACACACATAATGACAATAATATGAGTTTAGTGTCTATATAACATTCTTGTTGTGATGAAGACCATATATATATATATATATATGAATGTACGACTCTGATCACCAAAAAGGTTATGGGAAATTCAAGAAACAAGACCCATGAAATCATATAGAGAAAGGTGAGTTTAGTGTCTTTATGTGTACCATTCTTATTAAGATGCATGATTGTTGATTTTCGGTAAAACATATAAAAGCAAGTAATGGCTTCATAGTCTATTTTAAGTGGACATTTTCAAACAACATTCAAGTTATTAGCTGAAATATACCTCAATTGCAGATTTCTCAGTAACCTAACTCAAAACTCGAATTCACAAAAATCAAATTGAGACTGAACAAACCACAAATCAAACTCAACGAACTAGATAGACAGATTAAAAAGTTCAAACAAATGCAGAACTCAAACACTCTCTACTATTCCCCAGTCCTTGTCCCTTGCAAATCCCCCAAAGTCATGGTGCATTGAAGACGTCCTAACTCGACGAAATGTAGAAAAAATTCATTTGTAAGGGCGGTCGTTAAAAATTACAAGTTTTTTTTTTTTGCATCAATTATCAATGGCGTAGCATTGGATATTTAACTAGCGATCATAACTTGTAGGAAGGTTTGGCGACAAAATCAATACATGACATAACTACAATCAAATCATCACAAAAAAGAGAAATTATGCATCCCACGACCTTTTGCACGACTTATGTCGCCTAGGAAGTCGCCCAACTCTCTCGAGGGCGAGAAAAAAAGTCTCACGACCAACCACGTGACTTGAACTGCGTCCGTCTGCAGCTAGGCGTGGATATCTTCTCGGCCAAATCAAACGTTTCCCGTTGGTTTACCTTTATTGTTTATTTAATGTTTTTCTAATTACTAGAAGCGTACTCGCGCAATCCAGCGATATACATCGTGATTTTAATATTTCCTTTTATTATTTATCTCAGTCGATGTTATAATATGACTTTTATGTGATTTTGAGAAAACGATGATGTTTTTATTTTTGAATAAAATATATGTTTGAAGATATCATAAAAATTTGATAAAAATATATCGATATTAATATCAAATTAACTATTTGAAATTCCTCATTTTCTTATGTAATTTTTAATTCAATTTTTTTATAATTTAATTTATGTACAATAACGAAGTAATTTATATT